AACATCTCAGGTATGACTGGGAATATTGCTTAGTGGTAGAGTACTTACTTAGCATGCAAAAGGCCCTGAATTAAATTCTCAGCATTTTCAAAATAATTCAGAAACTATTCTATCTATTAGTAGGAAAAGTTGTCTATTATCAATTAAGGCAAAGGGCAGGCCCAGAGTAATATGGTGTGGAAGTGTTTTTGTGAAATATTAAGACCCCATTATAAGCGCACACACACACACACACACACACACACACAGCCTCCAAGGTTATTCTTTATATTCCTTTACATTACTTACATTAATAGCTCCTATTTCTGTTTCTGAGGGTCAGATTATAAGGAGAGTTTCCCTTACATATTTGTGTTGAGCTGAATTTTTTATAGTAGATTTTAAAAAGGAAAAGCTCATTAAGATATTTCAAATTTGGGGCTGGGGATTTAGCTCAGCGGCACAGCAAGGTCGTGAGTTTGATTCCCGGTACCGGAAAAAACCAAACCAAAAGAAAAAAAAGATATTTCAAATTTGAAAAAGAATGATAACTTTATGACCATGGAATCAGAGTTTTTCTCCAAGTGTTCCAAGTCTCAGGCATCAGTAGAGTACAAAGCATTTCTATGATGTGTTTCCTGCCATTTTTCTGTTTAACTTCACACATCATTAAATCCATATATGAATTATGAGGAGTGTGTGCATATGTGTTTGTGTATATGGTTTGGCTTGTAGGGCACATAAGTGAGGTATAAATATCATTCCCATTAACTCAGGGATATCTTAACAAACCATGAAAAATTGAGCCTATTCCATGTTTTTGCCACATGGGCTCTCACTGGTAACATTATCCCTGAACTCACATTGCTTGATCTTTGGCATTTGGTACACTCAGGGAATCTGCCTGGGAAATCAGCCCCCTGCCTGGGATTAGTTACTTAGGACGAAGTGCTGAGAAAATCGTTTTATATTTCATTAGCAGACTAATCTTTAGCTGTCACTCTGCATGGGACCGATCTCGAGCAAATCTCAGAAGCTCAGCAGATTGGGTATGGAAGGTCACTTCATCTACCCTTAATGTATGTAGATGAGAAAATTCTAATTCCTGATTTCCTGTAAAGGGGGAGGTTAGACAGATGACTTATGGGTTCCTTCTGGTTTGCAGCCGTGTGATCCCTGCTTCCTCATCAAGAGCAAGTACTCCACTGCTGTGGATCAGGTTATTTTCCAAGGAAGTTAGGTTCCTAACTTTTTGGCCTCAAACCACAGATTCACAGGAGTCCAGGAGAGAGGATAGTGCAATAGTGTAGACTGAACAGTGGACCTTTAGGATCTAAAGTTTAAGAAAGCATGTTACTGTATCACTTAATGATTGCTTGGAGGTGCTGAATATGTCCTCGTCTGCATGCTCAGGATGCAGCCTTTCGTCTTTGCAAAGAGGATGTCCTCATGGAGCTACAGTCTGCTGGTGGAGATGTGCAAGGAATCACAGCTCTAACTAGCAAATCGAGTTTCGATGGGAGTTTTGAGGGGAACTTAGAGCTGCTTTTTTATGCTCCAGCACTTTGAGGTTCATATAAAATTGTCCAAGAAGAGGCTAAAATTGAAATTCTTCTGACCAGCCCTGTTCCCTGGGGGTGGATTGGAAAGGATCTAGCCCCCTATATGTGGTTCCCTTCTCTATGTTCCAGGGGCTTCTCTGTAGGATTCCTTGAATTTGAAACAGGAGGCGAACCTTGTAATAGGGGCTGGGAAATCTCTTAGAAGGAAATGACCTTCAAACTGAGACCTGGAGGCTGAGCAGGAATTAACCAAAGGAGGAGAAGGAGAGTGATTTAGGCATGAAGTCATGGAAGGACTTTGAAGGTGCTTGTGGCAGGTAAACAGTGAGCTAAGGGCAGAAGGAATGAGCACTTTGGCCAGAGTGTTGCTGGTTTTTTTAAGCCACATTAGCAATTCTCCACTCAAAGAACACCGGGAAGCCATTAATTTATTTAAGAGAGTACCTTGAAGCCCGTGTGGTGGTGCACGGCTGTAATTCCAGTACTGGGGAGGCTGAGATGGGAGGATCTTTGAGTGTTTGATGCCACCTTAGGCTACATAGTGAGTTCAAGGCCAGCCTGAACGACACAGGGAGGGCTGTCTCAAAAACAAACCAGCCAGGAACTTGAGCAGCTTCAATTAAGGTCAATTATTTTCTCATTTTGTCTTATTCTAGTTAAAACCTTGGTTTTGTGCTGGTATCGTTCTAATAGAATGTGGGAAGGCAAGAGCAAGCATACACCTCTGTGTTTCCCCATGGTGCTGCTTAAACCTACACAAAATTACCTTAAAGATCTGGCTTCATTTGGTGGAAAGGATGTAATGTGCAATGCTTGGAATGTCTGAGTGGATACTACACAAGTGACACATTTCAGCTTTCAGGAGGAGGACAGCTGAGCAGGAGGCATGCCTCGTGTCAGCCTACTGAATCAGAGGTCTGAGGAGGAGCTGCTTCACCCAGCTACTGGTTTTAGCTGGAGTTCCCTTTTCGTGGTCCTGATGAGCCAGTTGCTCGTGCTGTTTTAGAGTTCAACCAATGTTTTGCTCTGTGCCTGTATAATTGTTGTGAATCTTCTAAGCAAGTAGACAACTGAGGGGTGACTATTGAATCCTTTTCTTCAAATAGCTCAGCATTTTTGTCTTTCAGTTTTACTGAGTGCCTGGACTTCGTGCTCACAGATGCTTTGACCAAATAATTTGTTATTTCTTTAGCTTCAGAAAGAGACTTCAGAAGGGGAGTAGTAGGAAGGGAAGGAAGTTGTTCTGGTGGTTGGGAAATTGAAGATTAGTAAAAGAGAGACCTCTGCTGGCTAAAGTGGTACAATGACCTGGAATTGGTCAGTGACCCAGAGAGAAGCCACAAGGGGTGTGGTCTGTCCCCGAAGCATTTAGAGCTGGTAGCGAATCCCCCGTTCATTATTGCTCGTTTCTTCAGCTGCCAGCCTGAAGTTTTCACAGGTCGGAGCTTGTCTGAGTGACCTGTGATTCCCTCTCTTTCCATCTCTTGGAAGAAGGGTCGTCTTTCATGGTTCTTGAGAACAACAGCACTAAATATGAGCCCTAGCCCCAGCCCAGATCTGAACCGGCTCCGGCATCTTATCGTCTTTGTTTCCCTTCCCTTTCCTGCCCTTCACCTCCCCTCCGCCCCTCATCCAGTACAACGGAACAAATCTTCCCGCAGAAGAGGGCCGTGCTGATGGAAAGTGAGAAGGAGGGAACTCGCTGCTTATCTCAGGCGGATCCTCAGCTGAATGTCGGTGTTTGGGGCCCCGGCTGGTGTTACAGATCTGAGAAGAGCTGTGCTTCCTGTTGGTGTCTCTGGCGGGCGGTGGGCTTAACGTGGGAAAGGGGGTACACAGTGGTGGAGTGGATCTTGGTGAATGCTCAAAAATGTAAGAGGGTCATTCCCCGGGGGAGCACAGGGATTGTCTCGCTGAGTGAGACCTTTGTTAGGCAGCCACAAAAACAAGTTCCCAGTGTGTATCAGGCCTTGGCCTAAATACCTCATGTACCTTAATTCTGTCCCTTGCTTTGCTGCTCTCTCATCCCGTCTTTTTCCTCCTTCCTCTTTTTTTGATGGTGCTAAGGTTCCAACCCCAGGCCTTTTCACTGAGCTACAACCCTGGCCCTCCCCTCCCTCTTTTTTGAAATTTTGAAATGTGGTTTCACTATGTCTCTAAACTGCCCAGGCTGAGTTTGAACTTGCGGTCTTCCTGCACCAGCCACCCCCTATCTTCATGCTGGGATGACAGGCGGGTGCCACCATGCCCAGCTCACAATCTTAAATTTTTTTTTTTTTTCTGGGAAAAAACCTCTAATATATGTGAAGAACTTAGAACAAGACCTGCACAAAAGGACAGCTCCATGTATGTTTCCTATTTCATCATTTTATTTTCACTCTGGAATATGCCACAGTCCCTACATAGGAGTGGAGGGTCGCCTTGAACTTGCCAAGGGTAAGTCCTTGCCCTGCTTCTGAAATGAGCCTCTGGCTCCGGGGAGCAGAGCAGCGGGGAGGCCCCCATTTTCCATGTCCCCGCCTCCCCCGCCACCGGAACTCACTCATGCTTTCGGCAGCCTGCGGGGGAGCCATCCTAGCATGGACTGTTACTATCAAGGAACGACCATTTTTGAGCATCTAGTCCAGACCTCTCCTGTGACAACATGCGGTCCAGAGAGGATGGCTGTTGTCTAAGATTACCCAGCTAGGGAGTGGCTGAGGCAGGACTGGAACTCAGAACTCCTGGATTTGTGAAGAGTACTGCCCCCTTTGCCCTTTACCGTTCAGGAGACAGTTTTCACTTGTCCTTTCTGTTGTCTAACTTCCCCTGCTCAAAGGCCTCCAGGCTGTCAGTGCTGGGCACACGCAGCCCCCGGGCCGCTGCTGCAGCCACCAGGTAGCTTCTTCAACCAGCCTTGGGCGGGTCTCTTCCCTCTGCTAAGCTTACTATTCGGATCTCATTGGGACATAACAAACCCCTCCTTTCACAACTCTGCCAGAAGCTGTGCTTAAACCTGTTAGCCTCCTCTGAAGTGCCTATCGTTCTTAGCATCTGTGTGCCATTTGACAACCTTGAATATTTGTTGTGTGTTCCTGACATTTGTGTATGTCAAAAGTTGCTTTCTACTTGCAATAATTTCCCCTTGCTTCATCAGCATAATAGTGTAACCTTTACTGGAGAAGTAGCCTTTACTGCAAAATTACCAGTCAGTAACTCTGAAAATTTCGGGTCCCATGATGAGCCAATTGTGTAGAAGATATGATGATGATTGTGTTAGGGATCAAACCTCTGGTCATGCACATGCTAAGCCAGGCAGTACCTCTGAGCTGTATATCCAGCTCCTAACAATGTAGATATTTTAAGGCAGACTCTTAAGAGTTTCAGGTTTCAACCCTGTAGTTTCTCACATGGCATTCTGAGAATATTGTTGGCATTTACTAAAGCTTCATGAGTGATAGATTGATTGTCTTATTTCAGTGTTGTCACAGAATTACGGTCTTCTGTCTGCGATTATTAACGGAGTGTTCATGGAGTGTTCATGAAGTCCGGCGGACTGTGCTAGGCTCTGAAGGCATTTGAAAAGAAGGTTGACATCTACCTGTCTGTCCCCCAGCTGCCACAAGGTGGATAGGATGGATGCAACCCGAGGAGGCGTTCTTTGTTCCTGAGGATAGAAGGTGCATTGTGGAGTAAAGAGATACAGGAAGTATAGGCGATGTCATACCAGCTCTGCATTGGTTATCTCCAGAATTCCTGTACGGAAAAGAAAAACAAACTTTTATCTTGGTTAAGCTACTATTATTTCTGGGCTCTGTTACTAGCTGCCAAATGCACATCTTAACTGATACAGAAGTCCTTGAGGATTTTGGAGCAAGGGACTGCTTCTGTACAGTTGGTGGCTCTGCAAGGACAGATTCAGGAGGGGAGTGTTCTGGGGAGCACCAGGAGATAAAGTCGGCTTGGCCAGTGGGGACAGATCCTGAGGAAGACTGAATGAGGAGAATGTATATCTTGCGTGGGGTCACTAGTTCCCCCCCTCCAGGACACCTCTGCTAAATTCCTATTATGCCGTGGCTATTTAAAGCTGTAGTTATTGAGTAATTTGCATTCTGCTATTGTCAACTGGCCTGAAAGCTAGGGCGATTGAGACGATGGGTGCTCTTTGTACTTTAAAAAGAAGCAGGCGAAAGCTGGAGCAGGAAAAGCATATCAGTGTTACAGTAAAGTGAAGTGGTTATGCTTTTTGAACTCCCTTAGGCATTTTCAACGGAAGTAACTTTTGTTACCGGGGATTGTTTATCTTGCTTAAGCCACTATTACTTCAAGATGCATTTGAAATGTATCCTTTACTGGATGGCAACTGTAAATAACATTTAAAAATACATTCTGGAATAACTTGCAGAGGAAAGCTAATTTTGTATGCTCTAAATTTCTAAAAGGAGAAAAATGTATTTTAGTAATTTACTCCATGGTTCATGTTATCACATTGAACAGTGTCTCTTGAGTGAACTTTTCATTTTGAGGTTAGATAGGTAATTTCATCCTTTTTACCTTAGGAGAAATGTAATTATTGCTTACATGGGTTATAAAAATAGAAACTCCCAGGTTTAATAAGATCAAATACTACCAACTTGAGTACTTCAACTCTCATTTTTCATTTAGGAGCATATTCCTCAGATCCTGTTATGTGTGGATATTCTACCTTGGTTCATCCGGGACATCCAGGACATCGTAGCTGCCCCATTCAATATTTTTACCTTGTTTTAATTTTTTTTTTTTTTTTTTTTTTTTTGCATTAACCTAACAGGAAACCACAGCTCCATGGCATAGCTCTCCCTTAGATGGCTAACGTAATATCTCATCTTTTTGTTTCCTTAAAAATGAACTGGCATATTCTTGTTACCCCAGTACTCTGGGAAGCTGAGGCAGGAGTATCACAAGTTTGAACTCAGAGTGGACAACTTTGTGACTTAGCAAGACCCTATCTAGAGAAAAACAACAACTGGGGATCTAGGGATGCTAATGCCCTAGGTTCAATCTCCAGTGCTAGAAAAAAAATTAGTTTTTGGTGCTGAGGCTTGAACCCAGGGCCCAGTGCATGCTAAGCAGGGATTTTGCCAGTGAGTTACACCCTCCCCCTGAATTCTAAAGTTCCTTCCAAACCAGCATGGATAGGTAATTAGAAGCCTTGAACCAAATGAAACTTTCAAAGTCCGTTTAGCCTGGCCCCCCATATATGTGGAAGGGCAGATGTGACTAGGGTTACCTGAAAAAATCTTGCTTCTTAATTATGTGCTCCTATCCTTTGACCTAACTGGGAAAAATACACAAGAATACAAGTGACTGAATATTAGGTTGTAACCTGGACTCTGTGTTGCAGACCTCCATGCTTTCTCTACAAACCCGATTTTAGTTATAGCATATGGATGCTGGCATGTGGATTATCTCCAGTTTCTGTGACTTCAAATATTCCATTTTGAGTTACATCTCCCTGAAGTTCTTGGTTTGCATTTTGCTGCAGTCCATACACAGGAAAAAAATGAAATAAAGCATACAGTTTTGTAAGCTGATGTCTCTCTCTCTTTCTCTCTCCAGTTAAATACATAATAACAACAGCCAACATTTATGGATCACTCAGTGTGTGCTAAGCTACTTATCTGCACTACACTTTTAATCCTGCTGACAACTCTAAGAGGTAGCTGTATTGATGAGGAAACAGCCTTGGAGCTGTCGCTCAAGGTCATACCAGGCAGCTGAGCAAGGGCACAGGGTTAGGGCTTGCTGACTCAGCCTGGGTTGGGAGGCTGTGCTGTCATTCTTCCAAATAATCTCAAGGAGAGCGAGGCCAACTGTCTCAGCATGACACTTGATCCCACATTTATCCTTTCACTCTCTGCCAGATGGAAATACCTTATGGTGATTAAATATTTCTGGCTAGCAACACCCTGCCATTTATTGAAAAATGATACCCCAATATCTTCAATAATTGTTTCATTAAAAACAAAACAGACCACCAGCTCTGTTTGGAATGGCTATAAGAGCATCTCCAGTTCTGCGTGCCTGAGTTTCTCCTGGGGTGAGATGAGAGAACACCGTCACTTTCTGCAGTTATTTTGGGGTGAAGAGAAATGGTGGATGTCACTACAACTGCCACAGAACTTTTTCAGGTTGGGAAACCCCTTCTCAAAGAATGAAGGTTATTTTATGGTAAGAGAAGCACAGTACCACTAAGGAAGAAGTTTCTGTCTGAACCTCCTTTTGTTTTTTAAGTCTCCATGGATGGAGGTATTTCCCAAAGCTACTCCTCCACGGTAGGAAAGAAGACCCAGATCAAAAGCCTTCTATCTGCTAACCTTATGCTGTTTTCCCACCTCCTGGTGTACTTTGGGGATAGGTGCAGCTAGATCAGAGTCAAGTGTTGTTGAAATTTGTGTATTTACTGAAGGTCTCATTAGAAGGGTCATTTCCTCCGTGTGATTAGAGAATTCCTAGAGTGCCTGTCCCAGCTACTGGGGATACTGAGGTGGGAGAATCACCAGAACCCAGGAGTTGGAAGGGATGAGGCTAAAAATAATGCCCAGGGGGCCCGCTGTCATTCAGCCTGGGTTTAGGGTCTGGAAGAGCCATTTGCTTGTCTGATGAGGGGAGATGGGAAAAGGGTGGATCTGATTGGTTGAAATCTAAGGCAGTCTTCCTCCAGGGAACATTTCCATCTGCTAAGACCGGAATATGTGTAGGTGGGGGTCATTATTTTTGTGCCTACTCTCTCTCAATTTATTTATTTATTTATTTATTTCCAGTACCAGGAATTGAACTCATGACCTCGCTCTTGCCAGGCAGGCGCTGTGCCCCTGAGCTAAATCCCCAGCCCCTCTCTCTAATTTTATTAAGGAAACTAAACCTTCTTCACCCATTTGTTGTCATGATCACCTGAAATAATGTATCTGAAGTAATGTATTTATAATTTATCATTAAACTGTGTGAAAATGAGGACCCCCCCCCAAGAAGTGCTACAGAATGTTAACTGTTATTGGGAGCAGTGTGCATCAGAATCATGCTTACTCGGAGGAGGCTGGTCTGCGTGTACCTGTGGTGAGTTTTCCACCACATCCCTTTCCTGCACTCTTCCAGGACATTCCTTAGCATCTCTTTCCACCTTTCTTTACTTTCGCTCAACCTGTGTAGTGTATTCATGAAAATGTACTCTTCCGTTCAGTGTTAGCAGGTGGAACATCGTATTTATTTTTCTTGGTTGTTTTGTTCTTAGTGAAGTGAACGTTGACTACACATTATTCTTTACTTAGGGAACATTGAGAACAATTCAAAGGCCAAAGGCATGTTGTAACACTACTTAACAATCTGATGCAACAGGCCCGAGCTTTGAAAAATAGGTATGTTTTCCTTAGGGATGATGTGTTAGAATTACTGCTTAGGTGCCAGTACCTCATTCCTGAGCACAAACATAGCTTAATTAAATGAGAATCTGGCCCATTGGTATGAAATAACTGCATCAGGGATGGAAGGAGCTGTTCTCCATTCATCTGGTGAAGTCATTAAGATAAACAAAAAAGATGGGCACAGTGGTGTGTACCTGTAGTCCCCAGCTACGGGAGAAAATGGAGCAGGAAAATTACTTGGGCCCAGGAGTTCAAGGCCAGTCTGGACAACATAGTGAGACACTGTTCAATAGAAAATTAACATAACAGATGTGAGGGAGAATTACCTAACTCAGAGGTGAGGATGCACATTTGGTCAGCAGTGAGGCAAACATCTGTCTTGGAAGGAATTCTCTATCAGTCACTTTTCTTCCTCCCTCTCTCCCTGCCTTCTTTCCTTTCTGCTAGGAATCAAACCCAGGGCCTTGTTCCTGGTAGCAAGCTCTCAGCCCTTCCCACCTTCCTTCGCATGAATATTCTGTGTGCATTAGGTATGTAAAACATTCCTGCCCTCAAGCCTTCAAAGAGCTCAGAGGTTTTGTGTGTGTGTGTGAAATAATCATGGTACAGTGAGTTTTGCACAGTAAAAATATGTGAACAACCTTTTGTGACATCACAAAGGGAGGAGATGGGACTTTACTGAATGTTTGTGTCCACCAAGATGCATATATTGAACCCTAATCACCAATGTGATGGTGTTAGGAGGTAGGCCATGAGGCCATGTGGCTTATGAGCGAGATTTGTGTCCAATAAAAGAGAGCTTGCTAGTTCCTTCCATCATGTAGGGAGGTAGAGGAAGGTACCATGTGTGAATAAGAAAGTAAAGCTTCACTAGATACTGAATTTGATAGAAGTGTAGTCTTGGGATTCCCCACCTCTGGAATTATGAGTAATAAATTTCTAATGTTTATAAGCCACCCAGTTTATGGTATATCTATATATCCAGGTTTTAAATCCAGATTCAACCAACCACACATCAACAATATTTTGAAGAAGAGAGTGTGTCTGTGCTGAACTTGTGCTTGTCATTATGATTTTATGTGGGGTGTGGTGATACACACCTGTGATCCCAGCACTCTGGGATGCTGAGGCGGGAGGATCACAAGTTTGTGCTTAACCCAAGCATCTTGATGACTTGGCAAGACCCAGTCTCAAAATAAAAAAAATTTGAAAAAGGCTGGAGATGTAGCTCAGGGCTAAGGCCCTAGGTTCAATCACCATTATTGAGAAAACAAAACAAAACTCATAACTATTTACATAGCATTCATCTTGCATTAGGTATTATAAGTAATCTACAGATAATTTAAAGTATGGGAACAAAGTTTTATTTGCAAAATACATAACAACTTTCACAATGTACCAATAATCAAGCACATAATTAAGTAAATAACTAGACAATTAAGCAACTGATTTTGAACAGATATTTCACAAAAGAATAAATATGAATGCAGATAAACACAAAAATATGTTCACTATCATTAGTAACTAAGAATTGCAAATGAAAACCAAATGAAATAATACTATGAATCTAAAGAATAATTAAAAACCAAAACCAAATCAAAACAAAATAAAATTTAAAAAGCTGACAATGCCAAATGCCGACAAGGAGATAGAGCGTCTGGAACTCTCATACACTGCTAATTGAAATGCAAAATGGTATAGCTGCTTTGTTGGCATTTTCTTTTTTTTTTTTTTTCTGGGTACAGTGGACTTTATTGGTGGTGTGCAATGATCCAGGGCTCCCTAGGCCCCTCTCCTCCAGGGGGCCTGGGATGGAAGCTGAGGGGAGATTCTTAGTGTTGGGGCTGAGTGGGGCAGTGACTTCTACAGTGAGGCCTCTCCCTCTGGTCTCGCTGGGCTGTGGTGGGGGGCCGCTTACTCCTTGGAGGCCATGTGGACCATGAGGTCTACTACCCTGTTGCTGTGACCAAACTCATTGTCATACCAGGAAATCAGCTTGACAAAGTGGTCACTGAGAGCAATGCTAGCCCCAGCGTCAAAGGTGGAAGAGTGGGTGTCACTGTTGAAATCACAGGAGACAACCTGGTCCTTGGTGTAGCCCAGGATGCCTTTGAGGGGCCCTTCTGATGCCTGCTTTATCACCTTCTTTTTTTGTTGTTTTTGTTTTTGTTTTTCTTCTGGTACCAGGAATTGAACTCATGACATTGCACTTGCCAGGCAGGCGCTGTGCCGCTGAGCTAAATCCCCAGCCCCTTTACCACCTTCTTGCTGTCATCGTATTTGGCTGCTTTCTCCAGGCAGCAGGGCGGATCCACTGCTGACACTTGGGGAGTGGGCATGTGGAAGGCCATGCCCATGAGTTTCCCATTCAGCTCCGGGATGACCGTGCCCACAGCCTTGGCAGCACCAGTGGATGCGGGGATGATGTTCTGGGCAGCCCCACGGCATTGCGCCACAGCTTCCCAGAGGGGCCGTCCACAGTCTTCTGGGTGGCAGTGATGGTGTGGACTGTGGTCATGAGTCCCTCCATGATGCCAAAGCTATCATGGATGACCTTGGCCAGCGGGGTTAAGCAGTTGGTGGTGCAGGAAGCGTTGCTGACAATCTTGAGGGAGTTGTCATACTTATGATTTGCACCCATCACAAACATGGGGGCATTGGCAGAAGGGGCAGAGATGATGACCGTCTTGGCACCACCCTTCAAGTGAGCCCTGGCCTTCTCCATGCTGGAGACACCAGTGGACTCCATCATGTATGCAGTGCCAGCATCACCCCACTTGATGTTGGCGGGATCTCGCTCTTGGAAGATGGTGATGGCCTTTCTGTTGATGACGAGCTTCCCGTGCTCAGCTTTGACGGTGCTGTGGGTGGAATCATACTGGAACATGTAGACCATGTAGTTGAGGTCAATGAAGGGGTCACTGATGGCCACAATGTCCACTTTGCCAGAGTTAACAGCAGCCCTGGTGACCAGGCATCCAGTAAGGCCAAATCCGTTCACTCTGACCTTCATCATCGTGTCTGGATCGCAGCGGGCACTGCAAGGGAAGAACGGCTGTTGGTGGGCACGCAGGAGCAGAGAGCCTGTTGGCATTTTCTTATGGAGATAACCATATGCTTACTGCATGTCCCAGTAATTCTAGGTATTTATCTGGGAGAAATGAAAAGTTCACTTGACCAACACATGAATGTTCATTACAGCTTTATTTCTATCATCAAAAACTGAAACTAAATAGCTTTCACCATCCAAATGGAAAAACAAACTGTGGTCCATCTGTGCAGTGGGATACTATTCAGCAATAAAAAGGGAAGAATTGTCGATACGTGCAACAACAGAGGTGAATTTCAAATACATTTTTCTAGTTGAAAGAAGCTAGATTAGCTGGGCATGATGGTGCTCGACTGTAATCCCTGCACTCAGGAGGCCAAGGCAGGATGGGCCATATAATGAGTTCAAGGCCAGCCTAAACTACCTAGTAAGATGCTGTCGAAAAGCAAAAAAGTGAACAACAAAACAAAACAAAACAAAACAAAAAAGAAGCCGGACAAAACAGACTGCATAACATACAATTCCATTTACATAAGTTTCCTAGAAAAGCAAAAGTGAAAAAACAGAAACCAGCTCAGTAGTTACCAGGGAGGAGAGGCTGAGACGTGGTGTTTACAAAAGCACAGTACCAGAGAAGGATTTGGTGTGATTCTCCTGTGTCTTTGGTGACTGCTTGATTTCCTGGGAAATCTGCTTTCTGATCAAACTGAAATAATCAGATGCAACAACTGAATTCTCGAGGGCTTCTGACCAAGCACCAGTTGGACATTTCAGAGTCATTATCAAGATCAGATGCCCAGAAAATCCCATCGTATGAGATGTGGCTGAGAATAACAGCCTCTGGAGATCACCACACTCATCTCCAGTCCCTGGGAAGATGTTACCCAAAATGGCAGAGGAGTCTTTGTAGATGTGACCCATGTTAAGGACCTTGAAATGGGGGAGGGTATCCAGGTGGCCCTGGGTAATGTAGTCAAATGAATCCTCAAAGGCAAATAGCGAACCTCTGCAGCTGTGGTCAGAGGGAGACATGACTAAGGGAGAATTGTGACTCCTTCCCCCATGCCTGGTTTGTTTTTTTTCACAGCAGTATAACCCCATGACAGGCAGAATAATGCTCCTTTTCCAAAGAGGTACACATGCTGATCCCTGGAATTTATGAAGGTGTTATGTGGCAAAGGGAAATGAAGTTCACATATAGAATTTGATTTGCTAATTTACTGACCTTATGATAGGGGAATCAGGTTGGATTCTATATTTGGCCCAGTATAACCACAAGGTCCTGAAAGGTAGACGAGAAAGGCAGGAGAGGTCAGAGTAATGTGAGGGGAGAACTAGACCCGCTGTTGCTGGTTTTGAATCCAAAAGAAGGCAGCGATGACCCATAGAATGCAAAGCCAAGGAAGCAGATTGTTCCCTACAGCAGGAGTCCCAAATCTCCAAGCCATGGACCAGAGCAGTCCCTGGCCTTTTAGGAACAGGACTACATAGCAAGAGGCCAGTGTCAGGCAAGCTAGTGAAACTTCATCTGTCTTTACAGCTGCTCCCTATTGCTCACAGTACTGTCTGAGCTCTGCCTCCTGCCAGATCAGCTGCTGCACTAGATTCTCATAGGAGCGTGAACCCTCCTGTGAACTGCGCATGCGAGGGATCTAGGTTTCCCTCTCCGTGTGAGAATCTACTGCCTGATGGATGATCTAAAGCGGTGCTAACGTGATGATGCTGGCACAGGGACATGTAGTTACTATGTATGGCAAACATATACCTGTGAAAAAAAAAGAGAAAAAACACTCCACCTCTGGAAAAAGTTTCTTCGATGAACCAGTCCCTGGTGCCAAAAAGTTTGGGGACTGCTGCTCTATAGTATCCACAAAGGTATGCAGCCCTGCCCACACCTCGATTTTAGCCCAGTGAGACTCCTACGAGACTTCTAGCACATAGTACCACAAGGTTTTAAATTTGTATTATTTCAAACTACTAAATTAGTGCTAATTGGTTAGAGTACTAATAGAAGACTAATATGGAAGGAGAACGTATTTGACATCTGAAGACTGGTTCCAGGATCCTGTTTGGACACCAAATTCCATGGATGCTCAAATCCTTTATAAAAAATGGCATAGTACTTGCATAACCTATGCATATTCCCCCCATGCTACTTGTTTATTTATTGTGGTGCTGGCGATTGAACCCAGGGCTTCATGCATGCTAGGCAAGTGCTTTACCACTGAGCTACCCACCTCACTGAGCTACCCCCTATGCTTTAAATAATCTCTAGAGTACTTACAATACTCTCTCCAATAGAAATGGTATGCAAATAGCTGCTATACTGTACTGTTTAGGGGCATAATGACAAGAACAAAATATGTACATGTTTGGTACAGATGCAGTTTAACAAATATTTTCAGTCTGTTGTTGGTTGAATCCACAGATGAGGAACACATGCATGTGGAGGGCCACCTGTACTCTTAAGCGTGAATGGGAAATATTAAAATAATAAGGAATTGTTTGGTTTACTTTTTCTTTACCTCTCTAGGCAGGTGATTCTAGAGTTGACTCTTTGCCCATTTTCCAAATCAGTATCATTGCCACTGGGGTCACTTCTCATGCTTGCAGTGAACTCCCAGGGTGCTCTGCATTAGAACTCATAGTCCTCATTTGCTCCTGTTGCTCATGCCCAATGTTCCTGGAAACCCTTTCCCAGCTCCTGGCCACCTCATGCCCAAGTGATTTGGCCACATTCTGAACGTGGCTTCTGCCCCAGCCCCAGCCCCATGTCCCTGATCTGCTTTCCCTCCACCAAATGTCATGACGAACTTTTACACCGAGACCTCTGTCTTGATTCACTCTGACATAGCCTTTCCTTCCTTCCACTTCTGGTCTGCTTGGAATTTTGAATTATGTTGTGTGATAAAGGACATGCATTAAAATGATGTACTGCCAACATCTCCTTTCTTGCGCCCAAGGAAGAATGAATGCTTTGTGCACTCAGCTCACTAGAGGGCCTTTGTTGAAGTAAGCAGGGTGATTTGCAGTGAAGGGAATTAAAATGCTGAGAGGAGACCAAATGGCTGTGCCAACACAAAATGAGAGAGATACTTAAAATTTCAAGAGAAGATTGAAGAGAAAAAGAAGAGAGGCATGTAAAGAGATGGGTGAGCTGTACAACTTTTCAGGAAAGAAGGAAATTCAAAAAGCATTTTAAAGGAAGTTTTCCTATATTTTGCATATTCTGTTTGCCTCTCTAAGAAGGGTAAACTGGATGCCTGTTTGTAATTCCAGCACGCTGGGAAGTTGAGGCAAGAGGATCAAAAGTTTTGGATCAGCCTGGGCAACTTAGTAAGATCCTGTCTCAAAAAACAAAAACAAAGAAGAAAACCAACAAAACCTGGGGATGTAGCTCAGTGCAAAGGCACTGAGTTCAATACCAACTACCACACAAGTGTTGGATTTGTGAGAGACTAGGTTTTGCAGTGGCCGTAGGACAAGGGTAAGATGAGCCAAACCAGCTTCGGGTGAGGAAAAGAGAAGCCAAGCAAGATGCAGAGCCTTCTTTCGAACAGCAAGTCTCGCAGCAGGCTCGTTTGCTCAGCACTTAGCAATTCTCCAGAAAGGTTACAGGAAGAAGCTGCACCCTCAAGTAGACCAAGCGAGGGAGAAAGGTGAGAGTAGCTCTCTGCCAGCTCCCTCCTGTCTCCATTTGCCTCGGCCAAGGCTCACAGTCGCTGTGGTTAAATCCCCAGTTCTCCCCGGTGGGGTCATCTGGTCATTCTGTGATCATCAGCAAATAAACTAAATCCATGCAGGGTGGCTTTCATCCACTTCTGGAAAAGGAAGAACTAAAGGGCTGTCAGAGGGAATCTGAGAAAGCTTAAAACATTTCTCTCTGTAATCGAGGAAAAGGTTTTATTTAAATCTTGCTCTAAAGAGAAAATCACATGGATGGCTAATAAGCATATGAACTTAGGTGTCTTCACAAAGATGTGTGAAAAATGATTTGCAGACAGGGGAGAACATTCTCTAATGTTAACTGATAATACCAGAGAAGTCTTATCGTACAGACTTTCTGACTATAACCATGGCACCAGACAGCAGCGATTGGCACTATGTTGGCTTAAACATAATCAAGTTATTTAATTGCCCAAATAACACAGACATATCTTTTACTAGTAGAAAATTTCAGGGCTGGAGGTATAGCTCAGTCATAGAGCACTTAGCCCTAGCATGTGTGAGGGCCTGGGTTTGACACCCAGCACCCAGCAAAAACAAAACCTGTTTTGTCCTCCCAGGTGGAAGGGATTGCATTAGTATAAACCTGGCTTTTCTCTGTTCTTCCCTAACTCTGCCCCTGGGCTGGTCATTTCATTGGCAGTCCCGGGTGGGTGAGTCTACTTGAACCAGAAATGCTGGATCTTACTCTGTAGCTTGGTTTTGGGAAGTTCTTCTCATTCACATGTTAAGTTGTATCCTGCAGCCCATCTCTTTCAGGAGTAAAGCAATTTGGCTTACTCCTTCCATTTCTTTATTTCATTTAAATTTGTTTTGAGCTCTGGGGGGGATTGTTATTTACTGGTTACTCCTTTAATGTTCCAGCATTTGGTGCATTGGCCAGAAAATTGATAAGTAAGAAAGAAAGAGCATAATTAGTGAAAGGTAAGGGAATAACACCAGAGAGATAGACTTCTGGAGTGCCCAGGGCTTGGCCTTGGCCTTGGGGCCTCGTTCTTTCATGTATGTGGGGACATTTTGATCTCAGCAGTTGTCTGGGCTTATCTTGGGCCAGGTAGTTTTTTATGGTGCGGTTGGCTCTTAACAGCTGTGGCCAGGGAAAAAAGACCTTGGTGAAAAGCCACTCAGAAGCTGGAGGAGGGCCTTGGCAGGGGCACAGGGGCTATGAGAGGGCCTTGGCAGGGGCCAGCAGGCTAAAGAAGTCTTAATAAGCAGTCACAGCTGGGGCAAGTGTTCAATTATAGGGGGAAAACAGTCTTTCCATATACTACTGTTGT